AACATCTGAACTAAATATAGGGAGTGAAGTAGTCGAACGCGTTGACAACTTCACTTGTCTTTGAAGTCTAATTAGCCCTAATGGGTTGGTGTCTGACGAAATCTCAGCACGGATTCGGAAAGCTCGTTTTGCTTTTGCTAACTTACGTCATCTATGGTGAAGGCGAGATATCCGTCTATCAATAAAAGGACAAGTGTACTGCGCGGCAGTTCGTTCTGCTCTATTTTACGGCCACGAAAAGATTCATTTATGATTATGTTCCTTTTGGTTAACTGATAGTGTAGTTTATTATTTTTCTCCGCGCTATGTAGTTTTATTGTATATTGTATAAGTTTTCTGCGCCCGTGGGTTTTATCTCACTGAATGTATTCATTACTACCAAATAGAATGGGGTTTTGTTTTTCTAGACGTTTATTTCTTGCTCTTATTACAACGTTTATGTTATATACCATTTCATTGGACAAATATATGAAATAATCATGCCTACATGTATACAAACGGAATATCTTAAAGAGATCAACTTTAGACAACAGTCATCTGTTAACATCGAAAAAGATTTGTCTTATAAAGAAAAAAATTGAAAGTTCAACATCAGAGAGTGATTTGAATTTCACAATAAGCATTCGTAAAAATAGTTTGTTCATTTACAAGTTCTATTCCCAATCCAGTTCATGATTCAAGTTACACTAAATATTTTATTCGCACAACAAATGTTTACATGGGCTTCTGATTATTATTTCATACTAACTTAAGCCCCATAACATTGTGCACTACATTCGCTTTTCGTGAAAACAATTAGGCAGCCATGTAAGTGATGCTCACTTCGAGGCAGCGTGGAATGATATTAGAAAAGCTGTGGAAACAGCAGTGGCATCTGCTTAACTTCGGAACTACTTCAGTGGTTCCAACATGCGCGGGTAGTGATTTCATGATAATTTTGACCAGATTATTGTAATGCAAACATAGTTTATATTCCAAGAAAACACCCTACACTAGTAATGCAGTACAGATCGAAACACTGAACAGCACACCTGTTTTTTGTTTTTAACAAGCACTTGTGGGGAAGATGAATCAACTTGATGAAAATGAAATCGATAACAACAAGATTTCACCAACTATGAAATAACCAAGGTTGCACAGACTTCTAACACAAGTGACGACAACTACACACACACACACTCAACTTTACTGGCAACTGTCGACCTAACCATTGAGATAAACAAGTTGCAAGGCAGTAGTATTCTGAGTTTAGATGTATAAGATATCGCCCAGATATTTTCGGATTACCATGTAGACCGTACGGAAGAATTAAGTTTCTGTTCAACATGACTATATTATATTATCTGCATGGTATCGGTTTTCGAGTAGTGTACCCACAACAAACATCAATGAAGTTGGCAACGCTACAGAATTTCTAAAACATTGTGAAACAGTTGTCAAAATAATAATATGGACTATACTATTGTGTCATTAAAAAGACTATGAATGTGGTAAATAAACATTTCCGTTGAATCTGAATACAGTACATTTTTAATATAAAATGAATATTTAATTATTAATGAAAAAGTATTACGATAGTTGTGGTTATAGTTTTGATGAATCATTCTGTTTAAAAATTAGGGGAAATACTGAAAGAATTTATGTTGTTTAATAGAAGGTCGACCTTTGATCTGAATCCATTTTCAGATTGTACGAATGTTTGCCATCGCTTTTTCTCGTATATCATTGTCGACTTCAATCGTGTTATCCAATAACCGAATTAAATAAGTCAAATAACGAGAATACATATATTTTGTATGTAAAGTGAATGCGATAGAACAAAGCGAAATGACGCGCAGGGAGGATGGCTGGGAAGCCAACTCCGTTTTAGTCAAACGTTACTCAATATTTATAGTCAGACAAAATAAAGATACAGACATGTGATTAATGGAATAAGAAGGGCACACACATATACGCTCATATAAAAACAGTCAAGACTGACAAGCGAATAATTGACAAGGTCAAAATATGACTCAAGTAGAATGAATAGAATGGTATGTCCGAAAGCTAAAATAAGGTATATGAGGCTGAAATAATAACTGACACTACATAGCCCCCTCGTAGAAAATAGCACATTTAAAAAATGTCTGTTTTCGAAAATAACACTGAAGTGATATGAAGCTAACGTTAACAATAAGTAGCGAAAAAAATTGTACAACACTCGATAAAGTACAGTGTCACATGAGGGGTGAGTGTATTATATGAAAATGTCATACTTATGCAAAAGAATACATGAATATGGAAAAGGCGCGGACAAAAATGGAAACGTTAGCATGCGAATATGAGCAAATTAATGAGCGTACAAAAAATTAACATGTACTAATGCTATGACTGTCTGAACGATAAAATAACACGTTTGTATGAGTGATTCAAAATATCGTGAAAATAGTAATAAATTGTTTGTGGGTATGACAGCGAAATAAATCGTGAAAATAAGTAAAGTAGAATACGACAGAAATTGGTCTGTGATGCTTATAGAATAGTGAAATATGCGAAATATATGTTCTGTTGAGCCGCAGCAGAATAAATAGCATCGACTAGCGATGAGTGAATTCGAATTTAAATGCGTAATTCCCGTTCGTAGGATGATAATAGTTAAGTCGTGAAATGATAACTGCATCGACGGGTGATATTCGTTGCTGTACTGCAATTGATAATAATCATAAAATATGAAGTCAGTGAACGTTGTCGTCTGCGTTATGACAGATGCATTGAGTTATCGTTAAATATGTATTAGTAGAATGACCAGAGGAACAGAATAGTGACTGAGTAGACAAGGTACGTAGAGTCGAATTCCTTTTTGGTCATGAAGCCTAGAGTGGTTTGTGTGGTTTGAGGGAGATGCGCTCGATCTCGTTTGTTACAAAACCGTACTAAGGCATGACAGAAATACCAATACATATGATTAGCGATGGCGACTTATGAGACTGACTTGGATGTGACGAACAAGAGTGTATCTTTGAGAGACTAGCTCTAAACTCTATGTTCTGATATACAGTGCGATGGGAATAGAATAGTAGTTGCAGTACTCGAATAGCGTTTTTGAGTGATAAGTGATGCAGCATGTAGTTATGCACGTGGAAGAATAGATAAAATGAACGTAATGGTTTCTAGTCAGCTAGTTAGAAGCATCCACAGACATAATAGGAGGCGATTTCGAAATGAAAAATGTATGTTGTGATAACATAAAATAATGACCTCGACTAAGTGAATGAATGCAATATTAGATCAAAATGACATGAAAAATTGGAACGAACTCACTTAAAGCAGGAAAATTTCACGTTTTTGAATAGTAAAAATATTCCAATGAGTTCTCACAAAGTGGAGTGGAATTTTCATAAAATGATAATTTGTTCGGTGAGTGATATGATTGCGAAAATGTCAATTTAGTGACAGCACGAACAAGATTAATAATTCCACATTCGGTCATGATATTGGCAATAATGTAATAATAAGCATATAATGATAATTTGAATCGTAATGGAACAAACCGACGAATGGATCAATGAGAATAGTTGACATGAGGACAAAGTATCGATAAGATAATACGACTTGAGCATGTCCATGTCATGTTGTACAGGCTGTGCTGATTGCGTCGGATTGGAGATTGCGCTGGCCTTGCTGAATTTGTTCGTCGAACGTATAGAGTGCAGAAGTTCCTTCATCGACGTAGCTTGCTGCATTGCGTTCGTCGTCGGCGGGCTTACCAATGTAGTGGCCCGTTGATCTGACTCCTGTTTATATTGTATTGATATTTGCTATCGCCTTTTCTCGTTTATCATCGTCGACTTAAATCACGTTATCCAATAACCGAATTAAATAAGTCAAATAACGAGAATACATATATTTTGTATGTAAAGTGAATGCGATAGAACAAAGCGAAACGACGCGCAGGGAGGATGGCTGGGAAGCCAACTCCGTTTTAGTCAAACGTTACTCAATATTTATAGTCAGACAAATTAAAGGTACAGACATGTGATTAATAGAATAAGAAGGGCACACACATATACGCTCATATAAAAACAGTCAAGACTGATAAGCGAATAATTGACAAGGTCAAAATATGACTCATGCAGAATGAATAGAATGGTTTGTCCGAAAACTAGAATAAGATATATGTGCCTGGCATAATAACTGACACTACAACCTTCCCTATCATATCAATACTCTTCAGAAATACACCTTACCCTTACATCTTTTCAACTTCTCTGCAAATCAAGTTTTCATCATGATTGATGTAGTGTTATCTGGTTTACTAAATATCATATTATGATTAGAAACAATCTGTAATCTTCACCAATCTTCTTCTATTAAACAACATAATTCTTTCAGTATTTCCCCTAATTTTTAAACAGAATGATTCATCAAAACTATAACCACAACTATCGTAATACTTTTTCATTAATAATTAAATATTCATTTTATATTAAAAATGTACTGTATTCCGATTCAACGGAAATGTTTGTTTACCACATTCATAGTCTTTTTAATGACACAATAGTATAGTCCATATTATTATTTTGACAACTGTTTCACAATGTTTTAGAAATTCTGTAGCGTTGCCAACTTCATTGACGTTTGTTGTGGGTACACTACTCGAAAACCGATACCATGCAGATAATATAATATAGTCATGTTGAACAGAAACTTAATTCTTCCGTACGGTCTACATGGTAATCCGAAAATATCTGGGCGATATCTTATACATCTAAACTCAGAATACTGCCTTGCAACTTGTTTATCTCAATGGTTAGGTCGACAGTTGCCAGTAAAGTTTATATACAAATTCATTTTATTGTTTATTGTTTCTAAAAAGAAAGTAACTAAAGAACATCAAACGATAATCTGTTATTTATTAAAAGTAAATCACTCCAGTGTTAACGCATTTTATTCCACGGTAATTTTTAAAATGTTAACATCACAGAAAACAGCAGAGACATATTATCACAGTTACATATACTTCACGATAAATTAATTAGACCATGTTGTACAGAAGGTTTCTGGTTATTACCGTAATATTCATCCATCTCACCTTGTTCCCGAATATTATTTATTTCATACCGACGTTGTTCATCCTCCATATGTGCACAATATGAATAGATGCCATACAACACGCGTAATACAGCACTGCTATCGCCTGCAACAATTTCTTCAAGTTTTGCTGGAGGTTCAACCATACCAGCTGCTTGAATAAGTTCAAAGGCTAGTTTAACATTTGATGTACACAATTCTTCTGTTGTTGGTGTTGGATGATATGCATGAAATGCTACAAAATAGCCATCAATAAGACCCATTAAATAGAATAAGTAAGACACCATCTGTAAACTAATGATCGTAGAATGAATAAAATGGGAACATTTCCTTCAGTTAATTATAAAACTAAAGAAAATAGATTTTACAAAACTGTGTAACTCGAAAACCAACCAGAGAGTCGTACAATACACTAAGTTAAATTTATTAGGTTACAGATACATGTATCATCTGTATAAAAAAACTTTGGTGTGAACCAATAACATCAGTCAATCAGTCAGTCAGTCGGCTACAACGTAGGACCAGGCACATATATGCATCGATCCAAGTTGCCATACCGCATTAGCACAGCAAGATGAACACCCGATTCATAGGAGTAGTTAAGTCAATAGTGGCAATATATGAAAGATTGCATATAAGGATATAGTACAGGAAGAAAGATTTAGTACATAGAAAGGAAGATATGAAGCGATTTTAATCTCTTAGTTTAAGGGAAGACAGACAGTGTATACACCGACGCCACTGTGATCGATTCTGAGCCATCTCACCAAGAGTCTACAACCATTGGTTACGATAGTCACGTGGACCCTAACTGAGTAGTCTGCATCTACCAACATGGCTCAGACCAGATGTTAGTGTCTTCAAGCACTAATGCCACGTTTTGGTTTGGCCACCCCTAACTTTCTTCCAACCATCCCCAACACCCGTTAGCATTGCACGTCGTGGTAATCGGTGTTCAGGCACACTCAACACGTAGCCCAACCATCTCAGTCGATGAAGACTCACAACCTCATCAACTGATTTACCATACCCTATCTAACCTCACTGTTACTTACCCGGTGATACCAGCAGATGCAAGCAATATTTCTAAGACATCTGTTTACTTATTTATTTATTTAAACATATAAACATTAGTACAAGGAGGCACCAAGTAGATATGCGCCACACAAATCATTCGACTTGTGTGAGGGCTGGGATACTGCCCGGGTGCCCAAACCGAAGCAGGTGGTTTTCTTAGGGGGCCACACCCCAAGCCTTTGACCTAAAGGTCTAACCCACAAGGCAGTGGAGCATCGTGAGGAGATCCAGTCCCATGGTAGCCGGTGGCCAACGATTGGTTCATACGCCATTTGTTCCCTCAGGATACTGGAGCCCATGTGCAACATTGATTTGGTTTGGGGTCCGGTTAAAGCGCCGGACATTCGCTTTTCGTCCTCTCATTTTCGCAAACAACACCCCTGTCACGAGAAGGCAGTGAGTAGGACTTCCCTGGCAGAGGCTGTATACGCGTGGCCATGTGAGAGCATTTCGAGAGGGGAGGCGGGCCCACCCCACTCTCGGCCATACCAGGGCATTTGGGGGCAAGACATCTGTGGTCAAACACTAGTAGCTTACGAGTGTCTTCTACTCTTAATGGCCATGTTTCGTGGCCGTAAAATAGAGCAGAACGAACTGCCGCGCAGTACACTTGTCCTTTTATTGATAGACGGATATCTCGCCTTCACCATAGATGACGTAAGTTACCAAAAGCAAAACGAGCTTTCCGAATCCGTGCTGAGATTTCGTCAGACACCAACCCATTAGGGCTAATTAGACTTCAAAGACAAGTGAAGTTGTCAACGCGTTCGACTACTTCACTCCCTATATTTAGTTCAGATGTTGACGCAGGCCAGTCCTGGAGCAACAACTTGCATTTAGAGGGAGAGAAGCTCATTCTAAACATTCTGGTATAGTTGCTTAGTGCCACCACAAGACTCTTCATTTTATCAGTGTCTTCACCAAACAGGACTATGTTGTCTGCGTATTCCAAGTCGACAAGTGGACCTCCTGGAAGGAGATCAATACCCGAGAATTCAGTCGACGTGAATGTTATTTCCATCAGTAGGTCTGTGATGAAGTTAAACAAAAATGGAGAAAGTGGGAAGCCTTGACGGACGCAAAAGCAGATGACAAGTCGCCATCAGCTCTGACTCGACTAGTGGTGTTCGGGTAAAGAGCCCTCGCAAGGTTTACGTACTTCAGAATGAGCGACAACCTTCTATCGACGCACTCCAACGATGACTGGTGGCAATATGGTCTATTTGAGTCCATCGTTGGTTTGGTGCAGGGGGTCGCCATGTTAGACGATGTATCTCCTTATGCTTAAAATTAGTGCTTGTTAACAACAAACGATTGTCTGGGCACGGTCGCAACAGACGATCACTATTATCTGTTCACTGAGACAGAATAGCGAAATACCCACCTAAATGTCTTTCTCTTTGGTTTAAGCTACCTAACTGAGCATTAGAGTCACCTGCTAAGAGTACTACGTTTGAACGTTTAGCTCTCTGAAGAAGTTCAGAGAGCTTTTCGTAAAATTCATCTTTCACTTCATCCGAGCTACAGTCAGTGGGAGTGTGAGCAGAAACGGTAAAAAGGCAACGACGTGTGTCCCTATCCTTCTGAGTTCTTGCGGAGCCGTTTAGCCGAACAGCACATAAACGACTGTTAATGGGGATCCACTTTAACAGTGCTTGTTCCGCCCTCATGCTTAGTGCTACGCTTACACCTGCCAGTCCACGAGAACTAGCCATCGAGTCACCAGGTACACGGAGGGTGTATCTCGTTGGCTCTCCGTTTT